CAGGAGGGAGGATCGGAAGGGACCCCCCCTCCCGCCCCCCCCAGGTTTATGTGATGGAGCGATTTTGGGAGGGAGGGATTTTGCTGTCTCTCTCTTTTTTTTAAATTTGGGGCCTTTATAATTGTATATTGCTGATAAATACAAGCGTATGGGGACTCTCTCTATTAAACCCAGGACTCTGGCGAAATTGCAGGGAATTCGTGGTCACGGGACCAGACTCGGCCAATCGCTGGTCTGGGCCTGGTGGAAAACAGAGAGCATTATTTGCTTTAATTGATTCAAAAACTCTAGAGGACCCCCGACCTGGACACCATGAGCCCCCCCAGTCCTTCACTCCCTCTCCCCAATGCCTCCCTTTCTTCAAAAAACAAAAACAAAAAAAACACTAGAGGACCTTTTCCTCATCTCCTTCAGAGAATTAAGATCCTCCAGAAGCCTGGAAAACAAAAGTATCTAAGGGAGAGATTTTCCTCTTTTTGAAATATTTTAATAGCGTTAATTGCTTTCTGTGCATGGCCAGCAGCATCTTCCTCCACCCCCCAAAAAAGAAGGTTGAGTGAGGATCTCAGTGTGGCAGGAAGAGGTAGTAAAAAGAGGCTTCCCCGCCAGCCTTTGGGAAAAGTCCGTGTTAAGGTGCAATAAGGAAGAGAAGAGATTTACAATCCTCAGCACCACTATCCCCATCCCACCCTCCAAAAGCAACAGATAAATCTTGGAAAATCGACAGGCACTCCCAGGCTGACACAGAGGAGTGAGATAGATGGTGAGAGGCCCGTTTGGGCCTCTGGCCTCCATAGCTGTGTGGTCTCAGTTCCCCTTCTGCCCAGTGTCTGCAGCATTGCCCCTGCCCCTACGTCCATCCACCTGCCTTGCTCACCTGGAGGCGTCTGCACTCCTCTCTGACCCGCCCCCTCAAGGGTCAGGGTCTAAATGCATAGAACCACTCAAGCCTCAAGCCTGTATCTGTATCTATACCCAGGAACACGAACAAGAACCAAGGTGGCCACCCATTCATTTCACTTAGAGCATTCTCAAAGTTGGGGGTGGGGGGTGGATTTTCTCCCCTAGAACAAAGAGATGCCCCCTCTCATTTTTATCACTGTGCTAGTTAAAAAAAAAAAAAAATCACTGTCAAGAAAGAATTCCCTGAACATGGAGGGGGTGGAAATAATGACCACTGAGATGATATTCCTTTCCTGGCCCCGGAGGGAATTTTTGGGTTTTTTTGTGTGTTGGTTGGTATTATTTTAAAGGGAACCAGAGTAAGCCTGAACTTTCAGGGAGTGCTTGTAATTTACTGCAGGGAGGAGGCCACAGGCTGAGGGTTCCAACAATTGGTGCCAAACAGATCTCAAGCAGAAAATGGAAGTCGATCTGGGGAAGATTTTAATTATGGGGTCCAATGAACGAGAAGAAATAAGCGATCAATCTAACCCTCTGACAACTCCTCGGAATGACTCAAAAAATTTGGGCT